ATCATGAGTCTTTTGGAGTTGTCTTAGATCCTTGCATTGCTGAGAAAAGCCAAGTCTGTGAAAGTTAGTCATTGTACAATGTGGCTGTTACTGTGTACAGTATTTTCCTGATTCTACTCATTTCACTCAGCATCAATTCATATAAGTCTTTCCAGGTTTTTCTGAAGTCTGCCTGCTTATCATTTCTTATAGCACAATAGTATTCCATTACATTCATATACCACAACTTGTTCAGCCATTCCCCAATTGATGGGCATCCCCTCAATTTCCAATTCTTGGCCACCACAAAAAAAAAAACTGCTATAAATATTTTTGTACATGTGGGTCCTTCTTCCTTTTTTATGATCTCTTTGGAATATAGACCTAGCAGTGGTATTTCTGGGTCAAAGAGTATGCACAGTTTGATTGCCCTTTGAGGATAGTTCCATATTGTTCTCCAGAATGGTTGAATCAGTTCAGAACTCCAACAGTGCATTAGTGTTCCAATTTTCCCACATCATCTTCAGCATTTATCATTTTCTTGTTTTTTCATGTTAGCCAATCTGATAGGTGTGATGTGATACCTCAGAGTTGTTTTGATTTGCGCTTCGCTAATCAATAGTGATTTAGAGCATTTTTTCATATAACTGTAGATAGCTTTAATTTCTTCATCTGAAAGCTGCCTATTCATAACCTTTGACCATTTATCAATTGGAGAATGACTTGTATTCTTATAAATTTGACTTAATTTCTCTATATATTTTAGAAATGAGGCCTTTATCAAAGACACTGGCTGTAAAAATTGTTTCCCAGCTTTCTGCTTCCCTTCTAATTTTGGTTGTACTGGCTTTGTGCAAAAACTTTTTAATTTAATGTAATCAAAATCATCCATTTTGCATTTCATAATGTTCTCTATCTCTTGTTTGGTCATAAGTTCTTAAATTTTTCCCTTCTCCATAGACTGGACAGGTAAACTATTCCTTGCTCTCCTCATTTGCTTAGGAAAAAAAAGGATAAGCTTTTATATCTAAATTATGTACTCATTTTGACTTTATCTTGGTGTAGCGTATAAGATGTTGGTCATTGCCTAGTTTCTGCCATACTGTTTTCCAGTTTTCCCAGCAGTTTTTGTTAAATAGTGAATTCTTATCCCAGAAGCTGGAGTGTTTGGATTTACCAAACAGTATATTACTGTAGTCACTGGCTATTGTGTCTCGCATGCCTAACCTATTCCACTGATCTACCACTATATTTCTTAGCCGGTACCAAGTAATTTTGGTAATTGCTGCTTTATAAAACAGTTTAAGATCTGCTACAGTTAGGCCACCTTCCCTTATATTTCTTTTCATTAATTCCCATGATATTCTGGACTTTTTGTCTTTCCAGATGAATTTTGTTACTATTTTTTCTAGCTCCATAAAATAATTTTTGGTAGTTTGATTGGTATGGCACTGAATGAGTAAATTAATTTAGGTAGAATTGTCATTTTTATTATATTAGCTCAGCCTACCTATGAGCAACTGATACTTTTCCAATTATTTAGATCTGACTTTATTTGTGTGAAAAGTGTTTTATAATCGTATTCATATAGGTTTGTTTTGTCAGGTAGATATCCAAATATTTTATAATGTCTATGCTGACATTAAATGGAATTTCTCTTTCTATGTCTTGCTTTGTTATTAATATAAAGAAATGCCCATGATTTATGTAGGTTTATTTTATATCTGCAGTTTTGATAAATTTGTTTATTATTTCAAGTAATTTTTTTACTTGATTCTCTAGGATTCTCTAAGTATACCATCATGTCATCTGCAAAGAGTGACAGCTGTGTTTTTTCTTTGCCTATTCTAATTTCTTCAATTTCTTTTACTGTTATTGCTAAAGCTAACACTTCTAGTATAATATTGAATAACAGTGATCATAATGGACATCTTCATTTCGCCCCCAATCTTACTGGAAATGCTTCTAGCTTATCTCCATTACATATAATGCTTGCTGGTGGTTTTAGATAGATGCTGCCTATCATTTTAAGGAAGACTCCATTTATTCCTATGCTCTCTAGTATTTTTAATAGGAATGGATGTTGTATTTTGTCAAAAGCTTTTTCTCCATCTATTGAGGTAATTATATGATTTCTGTTAGTTTTGTTGTTGATATAGTTAATTACACTGATAGTTTTCCTATTATTGAACCAGCCCTGTATTCCTGGTATAAATCCTATCTGGTCATAGTGTATTCTCTTCAAGATAAGTTGCTGTTATCTCTTTGCTAATATTCTGTTGAAAATTTTTGCATCTATATTCATTAGGGAAATTGGTGTATAATTTTCATTCTCCATTTTGATTCTTCCCAGTTTAGGTATTAGCACTCTATTTGTATCATAAAAAGAATCTGGTAGGACTCCTTCGTCTATTTTCTCGAATAGTTTATGTAGTATTAGAATTAATTGTTCTTTAAATATTTGATAGAATTCACTTGTAAATTCATGTGGCCCTGGAGATTTTTTCATAGGGAGTTCATTGATGGCTTTTTTTAATTTCTTTTTCTGAAATGGGGTTATTTAAGAATTTTATTTCCTCTTCTGTTAATCTGAGCAATTTATATTTTTGTAAATATCCATTTCACTAAGATTATCAAATTTATTGGCATACAGTTGAGCAAAATAGCTCCTAATTATTGTTTTAATTTCCTCTTCATTGGTGGTGAATTCACCCTTTTCCTTTTTGATAATGGTAATTTGGTTTTCTTTTTTTTTTAATTAAGTTAACCAAAGGCTTATTTATTTTATAGGTTTGTTTTTTTTAAAACCAATTCTTAGTTTTATTTATTAGTTCAATAGTTTTCTTAATTGCACTATCATTAATCTCTCCTTTGATTTTCAGAATTTCTAATTAGTATTTAATCGGGGATTTTTAATTTGTTTTTTTTCTAGCTTTTTTAGTTGCATGCCCAATTCATTGATTTCATCTTTCTCTATTTGATTCATGTAAGCATTGAGAAGTATAGAATTTCCTCTAAGAACTGCTTTTGCTGCATCCCATAAGTTTTGGTATGTTGTCTCATTATTGTCATTCTCTTGGGTGAAGTTATTGATTGTTTCTATGATTTGTTGTTTGACCCACTCATTCTTTAGGATTATTTACTTTCCAATTAATTTTTAGTCTGTCTTTCCATGACCCTTTATTACATGTCATTTTTATTACAATATGATCTGAAAAGGATGCATTTAATATTTCTGCCTTTCTGCATTGGATTGTAAGGTTTTTATGCCCTAATACATGGTCATTTTTTGTGTAGGTGCCATGTACCACCAAGCAAAAGATATATTCCTTTCTATTCTCATTCAGTTTTCTCCAGAGGTCTACCACATCTAACTTTTCTAAAATTCTATTCGTCTCCTTAATTTCTTTCTTGTTTATTTTGTGATTAGATTTATCTAGTTTTGAGAGGGAAAGGTTGAGGTCCCCCACTAGTATAGTTTTGCTGTCTATTTCTTCCTATAACTCTCTGAACTTCTCCTCTAAGAATCTGGATGGTATATCACTTGGTGCATATATGTTTAGTAATGATATTACTTCATTGCCTGTGGTACCTTTTAGCAGGTTGTAGTTTCCTTGCTTATCTTTTTTAATTAGAACTATTTTTGCTTTTGCTTTGTCTGAGATCAGGATTGCTACCCCCACTTTTTTTTTTTTTTACTTCAGCTGAAGCATAATATATTCTACTCCAGCCTTTTACCTTTACTCTGTGTGTATCCCTCTGCTTCAACTGTGCTTCTTGTAAACAACATATTGTAGGATTGTGGTTTTTAATCCACTTTACTATCCACTTCTGTTTTATGGGAGAGTTCTTACCATTCACATTCACACTTTTGATTACTATCTGTGTCTTTCTCTCCATCCTATTTTCCCCGTTTATGCTTTTCTTTCTCCTTTCTTTCCTCACAAGTGTTTTGCTTTTGACCACCACCTCCCTCAGTCTGCTCTCGCTTCTGTCAGCCACCTCCCTTTTCTTCCCCTTTTCCCTTACTACTTCTTCCCTCCCTTCTGTCAGCCCCCCTCCCTTTTCTTTCCCCTTTCCCCTCCTACGTCCTATAGAGCGAGTTAGATTTCTACACCTGAGTACTTAATTCCCTTTTTGAGCCAAATCTGGTGAGAGTAAGGTTCAAACAATGCTCATCTCTCTCCTTCTTTCCCTCTACTGTGTTAGGTCCTTGTACCTCTTCATGTGATATAATTTACCCTTTTCTGCCTCCTCCTTTCCTCTTCTCCCAATACAATCCCTCAAAGGGAACTTAGGACCTCCTAAGGCAGTTCATTCTGCTTCTATATAAATCTAATTAGTTTTCCTTGGAGTCTGGTTGGGATAAGGTACCTTTTAATTATTATAGTACTTCATAAATTCCAAGTTATTTGTTTTGATCTGTTTTTGTGTGAATTTATTAGATTGAAAATAAGTTTTTAATGAGTTTTCAGTGATTACAAAATGAATACCAAAGGAGTTAAAGTACTAATATGTTAATATTATTATAGTTCTTAATTGCCTTACTCCATCTGTACTTTACTTATATGCAGTAGATGATATTTATTCTCTGAGTTAAATTGTGGCACACTAGGTCTGCTCTAATATTGAATTAATAAGATGTTCTCTCTCATAACTCTGAATTTCAGTGGTTAGAAAAAAGGGAACCACCTTAGAAATATGAGGAAGAATGGCATTTCTTATGTTTATTTAGTTTTTCTGTTGAGATCTGAAGTGACCATAATCTGACTACTGAAGGAATGGTTTCAAAAATATCCTCACAAGGCAGAGAAATGAAACATCAGTATATGATATTTAAACCCTTATAATTCATTGGTCACTGGCATTAGAAATTGACTTAGGATAGATTTTTTTCAGATGATTTTGCTAAACGTGAGGCTTTTCTTGGCAATTTTTAGTGGCTGGCTTAAACAAAGCATTATTTTAAAAACATTTTAATATTTTATAACCACTCAATCTTGTTTAATTTTTATTTACAGGAATTGAAAATAACTGAATGATTTGAATCTGAATGATTGTGGGATCAGTGACTGTTTGAGATACCAAGCTCATGAAGGAAAACTACATGTGAAACGGTAATATGGTTACTTAGGCAATCCAAAATGAAGGGGCGGTTGGTCATTTAAATAGAAAGCAAACTTTGAGTAAGTTTTGTTGCAAACTTTTCATAACTGAAGACAAAACAAAGATTCTTGTCGTAAAAGCAATATATGTCATGTAATGAAATTCTTATAAATGAGATCAAAAGAGAAGACATTCTTTTGTAAATCATCAAAAGGCTAGTTCTTTAAATGTTGTTACTTGGTGATTATTATCATTTCTATCATCAAACATTAATTGACTGATATACATGTATCCCTGCTATCTCCTTTGCCAATTTTGTCAGTGACTGAGATGTTACACCTAAGTAGGAGTGGACTCATGCAGGAAGGAACATCTGAGATGGGCCTTGAAGGAAGGGAATTACTTTAACTGACAGAAATTGGCCAGAGAGGAGTCTTCTAAGTTTGGGGGGAAGGTCTCAGCAGAGCCTTAGAGATAAGAATAAAGGACAGTATAAAAAATGGAATACATTGAGGGAAAGTTATATAAGGATGAGGTAGGACTAGATTATCAGGGCTCTTTAATAGCAGGTTCCAGAACTTAAATTGGTTTTGGTTGGCCTTGAAGAGCCACTAAAGATATTTAAGTAACTGAGTGACACTATCAAAACTATTCATGATAACTGAAATAGGCTGGAGACTAGAATACTGGATGTTCAACTGATAGGCTAAATGAGAAGAGATAAATGTTTCAAATTACGGTGGTTATAGGGAGAATATAAAGAAAAGCTCAGCCACAAATTACTGTGTATACTCAAGCAATAAGACTTCACAACAGATTGGCTGTTTTGGATGAGGGGCAAAAAAAAAAAAATCAGTGGCAACTACGAGGTTACGAATTTGGGTGATTTGATATCAAAGATCTAGCCTTCCGAGATCATCTAGTAGTTCAGCTCCTTCATTTTACAGATGAGGAAACTGGGGCCTAAAGACATTTTGTGATTTGCCCAAGGTTATACAGGTAGGAATCATTGAAATGGGGTTTGAGCTCTGTTTCTCTGATTTTAAAGCCATAGGCTCAGATTTATTTATGCTTTTATAGTTCTATCTCTTCTTTCTATCAGCTGTCAATTCTTGATGCTCTTAGTGTTTCCTGCTACTTTGATACCTTATTTTATCATATTATTCATATATTTTGTCATCATGCATTTCCTACAAAATGAAGTGTGATGGTTTTATAACACTTTACCTCCAAGTTTCTGCTGTGTTCCATCTGTTTGATGTTACTAAAGTCTTACCTGTGGAATTAGTAGAAAGTTATTATATATACATTTAATATTTAAACTATTTACTGTCATTGATTCATATAATACTTTTTAACCCTGTTCTAATCAGAAGCAAGGAACTGTACTACACTCTCACCTAGACTGTCAAACATCAAAAGACTATTAAATTATTTGGAATTCTTATTTAATCTAATCAGTGATGTTTTGCTATTAATTGATGTTATGTATAAACAAAAGATCAACATTGTTACAGATCTTAATTTCCAAATGAAGTTAAAGTTAAAAAAAAAAACAAATTTTACCCTTTTTTTGTTCATTCAGATAATATTTACACTAGTGGTCTGTGGCTACACATGTAAACTTTTTGCTAGGGTAGATGTGTTTTTTTGTGTCATTGTTCTTCTAGGCCATGTACGTATGAAAGGAGCATATACATTTTTAGCTCTGTTAGTCCAAAATTCTTACTGCTGATAATTGAAGAAACAGGAAACTGTTCAATCTAATCCCTCTGGTACATGCCACAGCAAATATGGAGGAAGTTTTATTTCGTTATTTCAGTTGTGTTCTTGTATTCTTTAATATTCTTACTTCAAAACTTCAATCTTAATTTACTGTCACTAACATATGTGTCCTATCCACTTTCCAGTATCAGTGTTTCTGAGTATTATGGCATGTATTCATTAGGCAATTAAGTTGTTGTTCAGTTGTTTCAGTCATGTTTGACTCCGCCTGACTTCATTTTTTGAGGTTCTCGTGGCAAGGTTACTGAGTTTGCTATTTCCTTCTCCAACTCATTTTACAGATGAAGAAACTGAACTGAGCAAGGTTAAGTGACTTGCCCAGGTTCATGTAGCTAGGGAGTGTCTGAGGTTGGATTTGAACTCAGGTCTTCCTTATTGCAGACCTGGCACTCTATCCACTGTGCCACCTAGCTGCCCTGGCAATTAAGTGCCTGCTGTGTTAAGGCTCTATTCTAGGCACTCCACGATTCAAAGACAAGCCAAAAATTGTCCTCACCCTTAAGGAGCTTCTGTCTGTTACAGATAAGTTTATACAAGATAATTTAAGGAAGGAGAGACCACTGACAGCTAGATCCAAAAAGTCTTTGTATGAGGTTCACCTGAGCTGAGCTTTAAAGGAAGCCCAGTGGAAAGTTCATTACAGTGCTTTCTTCTTCCTCTCTCTGCTGAGGTCCAGTTGGGTCTTGGAGCCACCTGTGCCCTGGCCTAAGTCCGCCTAGTACCTCTGTGCTTATGGAATGGTGGGGGGGCCTGGAACCTTTTTATTTTCCACTTCATATCCCTTCCATTGCCTTGGGCTTGCAGATGCTACCTTCCTCCCTCTTTCATCACCCCATGGAGGCCAAGCAGGCAGTTTATTCTTTGCATGGGATTTGCTTTGGAACCCCTTGCCCATGACATCATCAGCTGTTGGATATTCCCTTTTGACATCTTTGTTTTAGCTGTGTAACTTACATAGACTTTCATTGTGGAAATCAGAGTTTGAGATTTCTATGTAGAGAAACACTTGAATCATAGTCTTTCATGGTATACAGAGAGCCAAATGTGCCTCCTTTTGAGCACAGCCAGGTGGACTTCTAGGCAAGATGTCACTGACAAGTGGAATGCACCATTGGACATTCTGTTAATGACGGTGTCCTAGAAGATCCCACACTGATGACTTCTTTGTTTGACTTGTGTGATAAGGTCCTGTGGGAAAATGCAACCATCTCAGATTAGAAGTACCAGCAGCTTTCCAAGGTGGAGGAAGGAGAAACTAGTACTCTAGAGTACAGAAACTCTGTTCTCCTACCATAACCCCCTCAGCTTCCAGTGACCATATGAGAAAGGTCGTGGTGGCAATGGCCAAGTAAATTGTCAGCATTTTGAGCAGCAGTCAGGACTGAGGGATGCCAGATACACTTCTCATAAAGACATCACCACAACAGAATCAAAGTTGCTTTGTGTGTCAGAGGCAGTCCATAAATTAAGGTTGCAAAATGACGAGATGACAAAACAAGATAGACGGACTACTTTAGCCCAGTCTACTCCAAGTAGAACACCCCATTCTTCTCCCAAGTGAAAGCCTTGGGTTGGTTTACTTATGGATTTCATTTCCTTACTTGCCCCCAGTGTGTCAGCAGCATGATTCTGGAAGCGAGGATAAGGACAGAACCTCATCCGCAAAATGAAGCCTTTTTTGGACCGAGAACGCTCTAGAAATCCAACTCGGGTTTCAGTGTCCAATCCTACAGAGGTACTTCAGATCATCACCAGTGAGCTACATCACCAGAATTATAGAGGGTTAAGTAGCCTTCGGGCTTACCAAGATAGAGCTTGCAGTGTTGGAAGGGGAAAAAAACCTCCACCAACCCATAACTTCAAACCTCAAACCAAGGCACATCCGTGCATTAACTCTTATGGAGTTCTAAAGACCCCTTTTCATATGGGCAGAGTTATTCTCCCTGGGAACCTACTTTAATGTAGAAGGTTTTGTAGACACAGTTGTCTTGCTTCTCATCCACCTTTCACTTGACATAAGAAAGATATCACCCATTCACAATTCTGCTGAGAATAATATGCCTGAAGTGGTAATTGACTCTTTAAAATTTGTAGGAAAGGTTGAATATTTCCAGTGTGGGAAGACCTATTCTGTAATGCCCAGATTTGGTACAAATAACTTCTCAATTCAAAGAAAAGGGAAAAGGACCTATATGTATAAAAATATTTATAGCAACTCTTTTTGTTGTGGCAATGGTTGAACAAGTTGTGGTATATGATTGCTATAAGAAATGACAAATAGGATGGCTTCATTAAAACCTGGTAGGACTTGTGTAAGCTGATGCAAAGTGAATTGACCAGAATGAGAACTTTGTACACAGTAACAGCAATATTGTAACAATGACCAAGTGTGAAAAACTTAGCTACTCTGATCAAGACAGTTATCTAAGACAGTTCCAAAGGACCCATGATGAAAGATGCTATCCACCTGCAGAGAGAAAACTGATGAACTCTGAGTGTAGTCTGAAGCATACTTTTTTCACCTTCTTTATTTTTCTTTCTTTTTCCTTTTTTTTTTTTTTTTTTTTGGCAATAGGGCTAATATGGAAACATTTGTATGACTTCACATGTGTAATGTCACATTGCTTGCTTTCTCAATGAGTGGGGAAGAGGCTGTAGGGAAAGAATTTGAAATACAAAATATTTTTAAAACCAATGTTAAAAAAAAAATAGGGGCAGCTAGATGGCCCAGTGGATAGAGCACCGGCCCTGGAGTCAGGAGGACCAGATTTCAAATCTGGACTCAGACACGTAACACTCACTAGCTGTGTGACTCTGGGCAAGTCACTTAACCCCAATTGCCTCACCAAAACAAAACAAAAAAAAAGTAGATAAATCTTCTCAAAGTATAGTCAACCACAGCCAATCACTGATCTATAGAATTAAGGGGAATAAATAAATCTAAGTAAACTCTGTTCTTCACTTTATCCAGTATAGAGATAAAGAATATTCATCTATTTTCCAATTTAGTTGCTGTAGCTAACATCTTATTTCCAGGGAACTCTGCTACTCTAGAATCGAGATATTAGCTTAGGAGCCTATTTCCTGATCCCCTTGCCAAGAGTAAGGGATGTCTGGAGATGGAGACAGCTGTTGTCTGTTCTGTGAGAGACATTAACTTATGTATTAGCCCTTTGATAATGACTTGAAGCAGTAGGCAGTATGATCTGCTCAGCTGCCTTACCAAAGTGGACTTTTCTCTTTAGAATCTACACACTGGAAAGATTGAACACTAAGGATTGGGCAGGGGAGGGAGGCGTTGACTTAGGGAAATGGTAAAGTTATTGCTGCTTCTGATAGAGTAATAAGAGGTCTTTGTCTACTTTAGCTGCAGGTGATACACTTAAGCTCGCACACAGACTATCAGTAATTGATTTTGTTAATTTTTTTTCCTTTTTGCTGAGGCAATCAGGGTTAAGTGACTTGCCCAGGGTCACATGAGCTAGTAAGAGTCAAGTGTCTGGGGTCACATTTGAACTCAGTTCCTCCTGACTTCAAGGCCAGAGCTCTATCCACTGTGCCACCCTAGCTGCTTCAATTTTGTTAAATTCCTAAGGGATATTCTATGCAATGTTTTATGCTTCAGAAGAGTGGATTAACTTATTTTCAAAAAAATATTAAGCAATTGGAGGAAGCTCAATATAGTCTTCAGACTTATGTGATCTGTGAGGCAAGGCATCCTATGACTTTTAGCCTTACTTTTCCTCCACTAACACATTGGCATCGCCCAAAACCTTTCTTACTAGGAAAGGATGAGCTGCTAAGAGAAATAGAAGCTTTTCTATTTGAAAACTTTAAAAGAGCAAAAAGAAAGTACATTACAGTAATGGCATCATCCAAAACTCAGGTTTTAGATTACATTAAACTCAAAATGCCAGTCCAATGAAGATAAATTATCAAAAGATCTTTTGAGAATGTTAGTGGGCAGAAAAGTGACTGATGATTTCATTATGAACAAGTCTCTGATGATACATTTAGGGAAAAGTTACTCAAGTTGAAAGGTAGTAAAGCATAGAGGATAGAAAGCCAGCCTCAGTGTTGGGAAGATCTCGATTCCAATGGTACATCTGGCTCACTCTATGTCACCCTGAGCAGGTGACCCTGGGCATCTCAGGCACCTCTGAGACTCCAGGGTACAGATTTGGTGCCATCAGCATTGGTAGAGATAGTTTCATTGGACAGTTCCCAACACCAGTGAAATAAGAGGTCCAGTTAAAGAAAAATCCAAGCTATGATTTTAGGATTAAAGACGCTGATTTATCATGTTTGGCTAAGGAGAGATACTGTAGAGTCATCATAAATTTCTTTGTAAACATCAGCCCAGTGTGATGCTGGAACAAAAACCAACAAAATGCTGACTAGTATAAAAAGATCATAGGAACTAAAACAGAAGCTGTTATTCCATCTTTTCATAAAATTATACTATCGCCATGCTTAGTTACATTATATATCTAAAGCAAAATACAGTAAAATAGACAAAGTTCAAAAAAAGAGATTAAAAAGAATAGACACCTTTGACCATTGAAAAACAGATCAGAAAGATTTGACATCATTTGTTTCAAAAGATGAAGATAGAAAGAGGATGTTATTTAAGTCTGTAATATCAGAAAGATTATGAGTAGAGTGAAGTCTAACTTAATTACCCTATTGTAGTATTCCAGAATTAAGTTTATCTTTAGGAATTTGAGAATGGTGAAATGAAGACAAATATCAGAAAGTAATAATAGATTTATAATAATGAAAATGAGCATAATTCTTTCTTTATATTCCTCGTATTATTTGGTTTATTGTGCTTCTAAGCTTCTTTAAACAAAGTACTTATTAAGTGCCTACTGTATTTATTCTAGACTGGAAATGCAAGTACAGAGAATGAAACAATCCCTAATTACCAGAAGCTTACATTCGAATGGAGGAGACAACAAATTCATACAAAAATATAAAGAGGATAAATACAAAGTTAATGCAAATATATACAGAGTAGTTAATTACAAGGTAGCTTGGGAGGTAGGACACTAGCAGTTAGGGAGATGAGGAAAGACCTCATACAGAAGATCGTGTCTGAGGAACTCTGGTGTGGAACTGAGGAAGTAGCATATCTTAGGCATATGGGACAGTCAATATAAAGGCATGGTGATGGGAGGTGGGGTGTCATGTGCGAAGGACAGAGAGATGGCCAGTATAGTTAGATTACAGAGTTCAAGAAGGGAATTGACATTTAATAAAACTGGAAATATAAATTGGGGCCAGATTGTGTAGGAATAGAATATTCAGAAGCTACATAGAGGAGATCATATGTCATTTTAGAGACAGTAGAAAGTTACTGAAGTTGATTGGGTAGGGGAGTGACAGAGACCAGGAAAATACTTTGGCAGCAATATATATAATCTGGAAAGACTTGAGGTGAGGAGACCAATTAAGAAGTTTTTGCATTAATCCAGCCTTGGGGCAATGAGAACTGGAACTAGTGTGGTCACTGTGCAAGTGGAAAGTAGGGGTCAGATGTGAGAGAAATTGTAATGGTAGAAATGACAAGATTGGGCAACTGATTGGATATCTGTAATGAGGGAGAATGAGAAATCCAAGATATCAAAATTATGAACCTGAGAAGGTTTTGGGGTAGAGGTTCTTAATCTTTTTTTTCTGTCATGTTCCCCTTTGGAAGTTTGGTGACGTCTATGGACCCCTTTTGAGAAGCATGTTTTTAAGTTCATAATTGGTGAAAATTGTAAATTTCATCTAGAAATTAGTGAAAAATAGATATATAGTTTTTAAATTTTCCAAGATCACAGATTCTTATGAAATATATCCATCGACTCCTTAGAGTTAAGAACTCCTGGTTGAGGGGGAAAAATAATGAGTTCAGTTTTTTAGATATGTTGAGTTTAAGATGTCTGGGATTGAAACTCATGGATATATTGGAGTTATATGTATGAATTTCTGAGTCATTCACATAGAGATGAAGGTTAAGTCCATGGCAGTTGATAGGATTTCCAGAAGAAGAGAGAATATAGAGGGACAGACCTATACTTAAGGAAAATTACTTTGGCAACAGGTTGTAGGATGGCCCAGGACCAGAATCTTGGGAAACACCCACAGATAGGGAATGTGAAGTATATGATGATCTACCAAAGAAGACTGAAGAGCAGTTGTACAGGTAAGAGGTAAGTCAGGAGAGATCAGTATCATGTAAACCCGGAAAGGAGAGCATATCCAGGGAGAAACAATGGCCATTTGTATCAAATGAAGCAGATTGGTCAAGAAGGATTAAAACTGACAAAAGACTATCAGCTGTGACAATTAAGAAATTATTGGTAATTTTGGAGAGAGCAATAATAGTTGAGTAATGAGGGTTGGAATCCAGAATTCAAAGTACTTACATAGTCATCTTCCTAAACTTTGTTCTAACGACTTTGGCCACTTATGGAGATACAGTTTTGAGAATGTGTATAGGGTCAGTAGGAGCAGGCGCCAGAATAACAGCTTTATATTGTCTGTCCTTTGTTGCTCCACTTTATAGGTTCCTAGCTGAGAACTTTACCTCATATTTCTCTGAAAAAAATTGAGACCATTTGCCTAAAACTCCCTTTTCTCCCTTCATCATCTCACATCCCTCAGGTGCCTCTCCCTTCCCCCACTATGTCCTCCATCCCTCTCTCACATGAAGAAGTAACCCTTCTTGCCAAGGCAAACATTTCT